GCTAATCTACTTCCTAAAAGTTAGTATGATAACTAGAGCCTCGTGATGTTGTCGTTATCTCACCTATGACCAAATTGTTATTCTACTAGTATTTGAATCACTACTTATCAGATAAAATTAGCATCTTTTTGTTATGTGCGACGACTTTGATGTATTTGTATAATGCAACACTATCCTTCAAAATTAATGGTAGCCCTATTGTGTGCGTTTTAGGTAATACTGGTCAAGGGTGGATTTGCGAAATATAGGTTTCTAATAGGTATTCAAACAGTTTCCTCCTTTTCTAAACTCGTCCATGGAAGAGTTATATGCTAAGTTGGAGCGTAATAATCTTGTTAAGCTTAGTGTTGGTTTTAGTTTTAGATTTCAGAGTCAATTTTACTTAACTATTTATATTCAGATGATGTAAGATCATTCCACTATCATCTTCTTGGCAAAAGAAATGAATTGGATTTGTGTGACCGACCATTCTAATTATTTACTCGATCAGTAAGCACTAGATATCATGTTAGTAACAATTTGAAGCAGTGAAATATTCATTAAGTGGATGATGTACAAACCAGATTCAGTCTATTGATAATCGGTCTTTACCCTCAAAATCTAGACTCCCCTCCATGCATGTCTCGTCTGACTTTTATTTACTTTCAAAATGAGGAAGCTATAATAGTAATAGCGGTATTGTTAGATTTCAGTGCTAAAGATTATGCAAAATGGGCTAAGAAGAAAAATCGTTTTTTTAGTTCTAGGCAATGAAATACTTGTGAAATATACAGAATATTTTTACAAAAAAGTGGCTTAGCTTTACGTCGTATTCACTATCTTCACAAATTCCCCACTTTCAGTTCATTAATCATTATGCCTATTTGATGGAATTTTTAGGATGCATTCATATCAGCTGTATAAATTAAGCAAGTTAATAATATTTGGTGAAGGAGAAAAATTAAAGTGATAAATTTCAGTCCTTAAAAGTGGAGCCTTTCTGAAATAACCTGTATCTTCCTCTAGGTGGTTATCATCAGAAACCCCACTGCTTTGTGAGATTGCTATGGGAACATGTCCTGGCGCGGCCAATTTCCGTACAAACGACGCTGGACGGATAATTGTCCAATGTCTCTCCCTCTGTTCTTCAGTCACTTCCTCTTCCTTCCCTCTAATCCCACGTCGAATCATCGGTGGTTCCGAGTTGGACGAAATCGACGTTTATTGCTCCTTCGGACTTCAGGAGGCAGCAGAGGTGCGCAGTATTGAAGATGAGAATGCGGAATTGTTTATCCAACAGTCCCTAACCGATGACTTTGATGAGACTGATGGTCGATTGCCAGTTCTCCAACGTCTTGCTCTAATGCGACAACGCGTTTCTGTCGATTTGGATGCATGAGCAAAATATGTACAATAAATACCCTCCTCTGTCGCGCCGTTTTTGTCCAATCCTCTTGTTGCATTTCAGAAACCACTATATGTATAATCGAACTTTTTCTGTGTGTAAATCTCAACCCACTTTGTGAATTTCTCCCCACCCTTTTTAGGTCGTCTATGTTTACTCATTTTTTCTTTTTTGCTGCACACATTATCATCATCAGCAAAAGAATGTAATCCCCCCCCCCCCCCTCCCCCTTTCTCATTTGTTTATGTATGTATGCGTTGAGTAAGAGAGAGAGAGAGTGAGCTGACGGAGCGCGTCCCCTTTTGTTAATTCCAAGCACAACAATCTCTACACGCATGTGTTTGTTACAAAATTTAACCTACAAATCTATCTCAGCTTCCCTTGTGCTCCATATCCCCCCTCTCATGTATTACTACTATTATTACTATTACAATTAAGCAAAGTCGTTTTTATATATATTTGATTGAGGCGTTTTGTGATTGGGGTTATTGAATGGAATGGGCTGTTACAAAATGGTAACGTGACGACTATGTATGTACTTCTGCCTGGATACGGTACTCAATTGTACCGAGATCCTGCTGGTTATAGTTTGGTACACATCGGTAATTGAGGCGTTTTATAGTGGTTAGACTTTGTAAGATTTGTCCATAGTCCACTAGGCGAAGAAAGGATGTGCGATAGACTTACCTTCACGTGGTGCACCCTGGGCAATGTACATTCATATGACAAAAAAGTCTATAAACCGGCAGTTGACTTCTCACTTCAACTCATACGTCAAAAAGTCTATTAACTGGCAGTTGACTTCTCACTTCAAAAAAATTCTATTAACCGGCAGTTGACTTCTGACTTCAAACCAACTTGACCCCACTGTATGTCATATTTGACTATTTTCACAGTACTCACTTCACCTTTTTTCTACCTTTGTGTTTGTCTCTTACATCTTTTTTAACACTCTTCTGTTCCCCCTCCCCTATCGTCTTTTTTCACTTTGATGTTCCTCCTCCTCTCTGTGAAGTCAACTAAAGGGCTAGTGATAACCATCAAGACGCCTGCCATTTGATATAATAATCTTTTTTTGGTTAAAAATTACCTTTGAAGTTTTCTGTGCAAAAAGTTGCAAGGAAACTTTGTTTTCAAGTACGAAAGTGCGCTTTAGTTTGTACTTTCATAAATTGGTTATAATCTATTTCATTATGAACGAATGCTTACAATGTTTATGTTGCACAAGTTTAAAGAA